GGAGCGACTGGAGCTAGGTTTGTGAAACTCGTTCAACACCTCCTTCTCTATCCCATTGTTTCGATTCAGTGGTAGTGAACGACTTGTTTTATAAATCATTTATTGAATTGCATTTATTAGACTGGTTACAACAAATCAAATACACAATTAAATACAAAGCAAAGCAACTTGTCGTATCTGTACTGCTCGTTACTACTAGTCAGGCATCGTGTCAACTCGTTTCGAGTGTCATAGTGAGATCGTGAAGGTGGCGAGTCCGACTGGCATAGGTCCGCTGCGGTGTCGTTATTGAGCTGGAGTAAAGATTGTAAAAGGTTGTGTACGTGAGAGTGCTCAAGTGCGACCGTAGTCGCTTGTTGAGGGGCAAAGCCCAGAAAGGAAAACATGAGAGAGAGACCCAAACGAAAATGAAATAGACGAGACTGCCTCCGCCATTCGAGGCGCACCTTTTATACCTCCCGAAGGGGGGTGGTATATATACTGGGGCGAGTAGGCGGTCCGTTGCTGCGTCGTGTTGGAATGGATTGTAGTTGTTGGCGGCAATTCGAATTTCAGAGATTGATTGTAGATGACTAATTGGTTGTGTAGTCGAGACCCGTGGCGAATCTGATAATTAATCCAGATCATGACTGGGGAGTCATGACAATACTTTATAGAAAGTACAAGTTGAAATGTGCTTCGTTTTATATGTTGTCGCTGAATCAATTTTTCGCCGCTTCATATTTGACGCTCCTGTTCAAGGCATCTTCGAATTGCCTCACTTTTTACACTTTGTTCCTATCAGATTACGACTTCGCATTGTACGCTAGATCGCTCAATGCTTTATCTTTATTACCACCTTCTAATGTACTACTTGATATTGCCACCAATTCTCACTCTTTTTCGCCCTAATATTCGTTAGTTCACGGTGAATCTTTCTTAAATAACTTACTTTTCTGAACGCTTTTATTAAATTGAATCAACTAACTGTGTTTCGGGCCTTTTTCAGTTGCGACTCCAAAAAACGCGCCTTGACAGACAGCGCAGG